GCATTTGAGTTCATTACGGTCGGAACGTTGTCATAATAACAACAATTATTTTATTAATATCTAAATGAATAATTCTGTCTGTCCGTCCGTGTGTCTGAAAACCTTTACACTTGCTCTAAATAGATTTATTCTACTTTCTTTGGAATCAGGATGATCCCTGAATTAAAGTTCTGGTTTTCATCTGGTGCTTGAATATCCAGCATTGGAATTTTTGTCCAGAAGAGAAGGGGACAGTAAAAAATTAAAATTTTGAAATAAGTGAGAAAAATTAGTGATTTTAAAGGTTCGTAATTTAAAATAACACAAAAACTTTGTGAATTTAAACATGGTTGTTTTAAATTCAGTATCTGTCTATATTTCTGAGATGAGTTTTCGGCCTGAATAAGAGTTTCAGCCCAGATCGGAGTATCGACCCAATCAAGACTTTCGGCCCAAATCAGTCGCTTTAGGTCGGAATTGAACTTATAACCTGAATAAGAGTTAAAGTGGGGTTTTTAAGTTTCGTAGAGTGAATTGAGGAATTCAAAGTTATTTCTTCAAAATTATCATTGCTCTCTTCTAATCTGGACCAGGGGTCGTTTCAGTTTTGAAAGGAGAGTTTTATTAGCCCTTCCTTAAAAGTCAGCACAGAGTGGAGTTTTTAAGCTAATTCATAAATAAAAATATCTATTCAGAAATGGTTAAGCAACGAACAAGTAAAACTTTTTTGAAAATTTTTAAAGCTTGCCAAAATTTCTGGTATGAAGTGCTTGAAATTAAGTTTAAATTTCTGAAAATACCCTTCAGTGATTTACACTGCTGTTTTTGTTTTTGTTTTTTGTTGTTTTGTTTTTTTTTGTTTTTTTTAAATTATTTGGAATACAATTAGGCACCTAGATCCCTATGTCAGTTTTCTTTCTTTCATTCTTTTCATTTTCATTCTTGTCAATTTTCACTCTTCCGTTCTTTCTTTCTTTCTTTCTTTCTTTCTTTCTTTTCCTTTCCCTTCCTTTCATTTTCTTTCATTCTTTCCATTTCATCCATCAGTCTTCTTTCTTTCTTTTCTTTTCTTTCTTTCATTCTTTCTTTTTTTCTTTCTTTTCTTTCTTTCTTATTTCCCCTTTCCTTTCATTTCCTTCTTTCATTCATTCTCATTTTCACCCGTCTTTCTTTCTTTCTTTCTTTTTTTCTTTCTTTCTTCTTTTCTTTTTCCTTTCATTTCTTTTCATTCTTTCCCATTTTCATCCATCCAGTCTTCTTTTCTTTCTTTCTTTCTTTTTTTTCATTCTTTTTTCTTTTCTTTCTTTCTTTCTTTCTTTCTTTCTTTTATTTCCCTTTCCTTTTCATTTTTCTTTTTTTCATTCTTTTTTCTTTTTCTTTTCTTTTTCTTTCTTTCTTTCTTTCTTTCTTTCTTTTCTTTTCCTTTCCTTCCTTTCATTTTCTTTTCATTCTTTTCCCATTTTCATCCATCCAGTCTTCTTTCTTTCTTTTTTTCTTTCTTTTTCATTCTTTCTTTCTTTTCTTTCTTTCTTTCTTTCTTTCTTTCTTTCTTTCTTTCTTTCTTTCTTTTTCTTATTTCCCTTTCCTTTCATTTTCCTTCTTTCATTCATTCTCATTTTCACCCGTCTTTCTTTCTTTCTTTCTTTCTTTCTTTCTTTCTTTTCCTTTCCCTTCCTTTCATTTTCTTTCATTCTTTCCCATTTTCATCCATCCAGTCTTCTTTCTTTCTTTCTTTCTTTCTTTCATTCTTTCTTTCTTTCTTTCTTTCTTTCTTTCTTTCTTATTTCCCCTTTCCTTTCATTTTCCTTCTTTCATTCATTCTCATTTTCACCCGTCTTTCTTTCTTTCTTTCTTTCTTTCTTTCTTTCTTTTTTTCCTTTCCCTTCATTTTCTTTCATTCTTTTCCCATTTTCATCCATCCAGTCTTCTTTCTTTCTTTTCTTTCTTTCTTTTCATTCTTTTCTTTTTTTCTTTTTTC